GATCAGGCCAATGCTGAGTGGCCCGACCTAGCAGCAGGCTTGGGTCCACGCAGCCTTCTGCCCTCCCTTCTTCTCCTCCCCTCTTGCAGGATGTCGAAGTGCTGCTTGGTCACGGGGCAGACCCCAACCTTCGGGACAGGCATGGGCGCTCTGCACTTCACCGGGCTGCTGCGGCGGGACACATGGCCGTGGTCCAGCTGTTGGTAGCCCACAAGGCCGAGGTGGATGCGCAGGACTCTCTGAACCTCACACCTCTGCACCATGCCGCTCGGGGAGGCCACGTGGAGGTGGCCAGCCACCTACTGGACAAGGGTGCTCAGGTCAACGCTGCAGGCTGGCTCTCCAAGACCCCCCTTCACTTCTCTGTGGAGTCACACCATGGCCCCACCACAGAGCTTTTGCTGATCCGAGGGGCCAGCCCTGCCCTGAGGACACAGTGGGGTGAGGTGGCCCAGGACCCAGTGTGCGAGGGGAGTCTTTGCATGGAGTAGAAGAGGTGCTGGGGGCACACTGCCTCTCAGGGCCTCCAACTGATGGGGGCTGGAGGCTCCACAGCCAGATGGGAGAGGCACTCCTGGCCCCCGGCCTCCCTGGTTCGCCCAGGGCCTGGCTCTTCTGGGTCTGAGGCCAGCCGTCTGGAAGGGTAAACTTAGAGACTCCGGGAGAAGGCTAGATCTCTTGGACATGGCCGAGGGGAGGGGCCATTCCCACTACAGCGCCAGCCTTCACCACATACTTTGGCACAGAGGCGGGGTCATGCAATAGTTTTGTCCTTTCCCCGATGTTCTCCCCTCCCCTTTCCCTGACCAACCTTGGGTGTGTCACCCTGCTGACAGATGCCTCAGCGGTACATGGACAGTTCTCTTTGACATTCATCATTCAAATCATCCTTGTCATTATTGGATTTAAAAGTATTGTTTTGGGTACAACACCTTTACAGGACAGATGTCCTCTTTCCATGATGAGCTATGTCATGGCAGTTTGGCTCCTCTGGGCCCTGGTGGACCGTGGGCACACGTGGATTTTACTCCTAGGGCCACAGGAAGCCTTTAGGGCATCTCATGGTGAGGCGGGTGACCTGTACCTGGGAGAGGGAGGGAGCAGAGACCAGAGGGAGTGTGTGGTGGCATGAAGGGACCGGGGAATAGGCCGATGGTGGGAGATGGCTCTGGAGAGCACCCACCGGACCTGCTGATGCTCAGATTTAAGAGTGAAGGAAAAGTCCAAAATATAACATTTCCTCCGTGACAATTTCCCCTAACTAGGCTTTGTCCTGAGGCAGGGTGGGGCGGTTGGCAGAGCCATCTGCTGGGACAGCCGGGTGCACAGATCTGGGTTGGCGGTTAGATACCTGTGTGAAGGCGGCAGATGGTCACTGAGGAGACGGGCTGGGAAAGATGGGACCTGAGTTACATCTCTGAGGCTCTCCTGAGTGAGGATGGGCCTACCCTGAGCCCACCTGCAGAGCCCGGGGGGGTTCATTTTGTGTCCCACGGCTTTCTCCCCACTCTACCACTACCACGAAGGTCTCCGCCCCGGGACTGCTCAGCAGCCAGGCCTGCCTCCAGCAGGAAGACGTCTAGTGGGTCCTTCCTGACTCTTCCCTGACTCCCTGCAGTCCGTACCCAAAACAGTGGCCAGTAATCTTACTTAACGAGTCAGATCATGTCACAAAAGGAAATGGGCTTATCGACTTTTCCCCAGACGGCCCCACCAGTCCCTCCCTCCCTCCTGCTCATCTTACTGTGGGTCATGGTCCTCCCATCTGGATGGAGGTGGAAGTCTTCTCACCTTGAACCCCAGTGGAGCCTGGTGACTATTTGAGCACCAGCGTCATGGGATGTTACATGACACCCAAGGGACAGATCAAAAAGGGGGCCAATGGTTTCTGCATTGTCTTCTGGGGGAGCCCCCTCTGGAAGCCCAGCCGTCATCGGCTGTTATGGATTGGACCCTGCCAAGCCCCTACAGTACGTGTTGTACATTCTAATTCCCACGCGTGTGGACCTCACCCCCCCTGGGACTAGGTGTGTTGTTGTGTTCATGAAGCTCTGTTCATGTGGGGTGTGACTTCTGAGATTTCAAAGGAGCAGATTGGACAGAGCATCCAAGCCGGGAAGGAGGAGGGGAAGAACGGGGTCCCCTCCAGACGTCAAGGAGGGGGATAGTAGAAGCGGAGAAGAGACAGCCTCTTACAAAAGCTTCCTGGGGCTGCTGTCCTGACTCGGAACGTCTAGCCCCCCAACTTTAAGGAAATACATTTCTGTTTGTGTGTCTTTCTGTTAGGCTGTGAGGGGCCCTTGAGTGGATCCTAGCTCAGAGTGACCTTAGGCATGACAGCAGGAGATGGGCCAGATCTTGGCCCATCCTCACGATTCTTACTGGGTTTGCGCCCATCAGAGCAATGACTGTGTCAGTCCATCTCGTTGCGGGTCTGATGCTCACTTTACCAGGCATGATGTCCTTCTCCAGGAGTTCGTCCCTCTGTCACCCAGGTTACTTTGCTTCCTGTCATTGGGAAAATCCCCCTTACAACATGCAGGTAGCTTAAGGAATTCAGTGCATTCTCTTATCTATGGCATTTTTACCACTCGCCACATTGCTCAAAAGCAGACACACTGGATGCAGATGTCCCCTAAAAAGGGCCCAGGGCCAGATGATGCCAAGAGCCGTCTCTAACTTCCCTGTTAGGATTAAAATCTAGGTCCTACTATCCACCAGTCAACAAAGACAGCCTGAGACTGGCGTAAGACTTAAAGGACTGGTTGTGTTTGCTTGTCAACAGTTGTTTCCCGCAAACTGAACTCATTGCCATCAAGTCGATTCAAACCATGAGACCCTCCAGGACTGCGTCAAACTGCCCCTTGGGTTTCCAAGACAGTAACTCTTTACGGAAAGAGGAAGCCTCGTTTTTCTCCCTTGGAGTGGCTGGTGGTTTAGAACTGCTCACCTTGTGGTGTAACCACGCCGCCACCAGGGCTCCCTGTTTCCCATGGATACCTTGAAACCTGCATTAATGTGAAACTATACAGGGTTGCCTGAAGTGTAGATTCCAGAAGCAAAGGTATATATTCTCTATGTATTCTGATCTCAAATGAGCCCACAAAGTCGGTCTGCTTTGCGCTGCAGTGGCCTCCCCGGTCTGCCTCCTAACTGAAAACATCTCACGCTTCCTCGGACATAGAGTGGGTACATCGGGTGCACTGCTTCGGGGAAAAGTACCTGCATTCCAGGTGACCCTTCCAATGACATGTCCAAAGTAAGCTAGATGAAGTCTCGGAATGTGCTGCGAAGGGGCATTCAGGCTGTACTTCTTCCCAAGCAGACTTGTTTGTTTGTCTGGCAGGCATGGTACAGTCCGTGTTCTTCGCCAGCATCATACTCCCAAGTGTGTTGACTCTTCGTCCCCCTCTTCAGTGCCCAGCTGTCACGTGCACTCAAAGTGGTTGAAAGTATCGTGGCTGGTCAATGGTTGGTACTGTTGTCAATAAGTTGGACAGCGACAAAAAGCTGAACTCGAAGGTAATCAAGCGGCCATCGAGCTCAGAAGCAACAAAGCCCACATGGAAGAAGCACACCAGCCTATGCAACCACGAGGTGTTGAAGGGATCAGGTGTAAGGCATCATCAGAACAAAAAATCTTACCATAGTGAATGATGGGGGGAGTGCAGAGTGGAGATCCAAAGCCCATTAGTAGGCCACTGGAGATCCCCTTGCAGAGGGGTCTCGGGGAGGAGATGAGCCAGTCAGGGTGTGATGTAACAATGATGAGAAATACAACTTTCCTCTAGTTCCTAAATGTTTCCTCCCCGCTCCCACTACCATGACTCGAATTCTATCTTGCAAGACTGGCTAGACCAGAGGAGGTACACTGGTACAGATGGGAGCTGAGAATCCAGGGAATCCAGGACAGATGAGCCCTATGGGACCAGTGGTGTGAGTGGCAAAACGGGGAGGGTAAAGGGAGAATGGGTGGGAAGGAGGGAACCGATTACATGGAGCTGTGTGTGACCTCCTCCCTGGGGGACAGACAACCGAAAAGTGGATGAAAGGAGAAGTCGGACAGGGCAAGATATGACAAAATACCCATTTATAAACTATCAAGGGCTCATGCGGGAGGGGGGAGCGGGGAGGGAGGGGAAAAGTGAGGACCTGATGTCGGGGGTTTGAATGGAGAGAAAATGTTTTGAGAAACGATGTACAAATGCGCTTTGCACAATTGATGTGTGTATGGATTGGGATAACAGTTGTATGAGCCCCTAATAAAATGTTGAAAAAGAAAAAAAAAAAAAGCTGAACTCGTAAAAGGCGTGTGATAGATTTACAGCAATGATAAACACAACAGAGTAGCTGCTAAGGTTGCGTATGTACAACCGAAAATCTCCTGGCATCTGCCCCTGGGTGTCAAGGTTTATATGCCCACTCTTATTGAGTCCGTTCTGACTCCGAGCTCTCTTATAGGACTGAGTGGAACTGCTCCTTGGGCTTTCTGAAAGGAACAGAGAGCCTCATCTTTCTCTCCAGGGGGGACTGGTGGGTTTGAACCACCAACCTTGCGGTTAAAGGCCTGTGATCGTTTGGTTTTGTGTCAACTTGGCTGGCTTCTCAGTGGTTTGGCAGTTGAAGCCTCGTCATTCTCCATGCTGCGACCAAACACAGTGCAATAAACTCACAAAAGACTCTGCTGTGAGCAGTCAAACCGTTGGTGACCAAACACAATGTAATCAACTCACAAAGGGCTCTGCTGTGAGCAGTCAAACCGTTGCAAGAAGATAAGAGTGGAGTGCAACCTACCCCCCTTACTCAGGTCACACCCTGATGCAATTGAAAGGGCCGTTTCCTCAGAGATCTGGCCTCCCTCTTGTATGAGTGGATGCTCTCAGAAAGCTCGCTTGCCTTCTTGCTGGGTCTGGCTCCTGCATCTGGCTCATTGACCTCTGGCTCTTTGGACTTGAGTCTGCCATATGGCCAGCGGTCTGGGATTCATTCACCTCTGCAGTCACCAGCCTGTTCTTCCTGCTGATCTCCGGTTCACCAGCTCACAAGTCTCCAGCCCAGCATCTGACCCATGGACTTAGAACCTGCCCACACTTGGACTTGACTGTCTACAACTGTGTGAGTGCTTTCCTTGACCGGAATGCTTTCTACATAGGCATAGAAGTGTCACTTATTTTGCTTCTTTTCAATAGTTAACCCTTGACACCACCAGGGCTCCTTTCCGAGTGAGATGTAGGCTCATGGTGTCATGGGGCCTCCCAGCTAACTGTCCTAGAAGATGTTTAGGGCGTCTGCTCTGTGTTGGGTAGTGCCTGGGGTCTTAAAAGCTTGAAACCTGCCTCCTAAGACACGACAAGTGTTCTCTGTTCCCCTGGAGCAGCAGCAGCAGCAGAAGACTCAGGAACAGGAGGAGGACAGGATCAAAGGTTTGGTTCCAGGCCCCCATGAACAACTGCCTCCTTTGCCAGGAGACCAGAACAGCTGTATGGATGGAGCCTGGTGACTGTGTCTGCATATTTTGATCAAAGATTTTTAGAGAAGAATCCTGATCTAAGGGAGGGAAACACAGAACAGAATTTCAAGTTCTTAAGGACTTTCTGGCATCAAGGGGACTGGCTAGACCCCGGAAACTCTCACCCTGCGGTCACCTTGAGAATATAAACCAAAAACATCCTCTGAAGACCAAAGCATGGTTTAGCTCGCCTGGGAAAGCCCTCTGCCGTGAGCGTTCTGCTCGTTTAAGAATTCTCTATCGGGGAGTGAAAAGCAGCCTGGTGGCTCCGTGGGAGGAGCACGAATATGATCTTGTCCAATCTGTTGGCCAAGGAGCTGTCTTCCATATTTCCTGGCATAGATGAGTGAGTGCTTCCAGGGCTTCCTCAGCTTGTTTAAATATTCCAATTGGTATTCCATCCATTCCCGGATCCTTGTTTCTGTATGTGTAGAAAACTCCAAAGAGTCGACAAGAAAATTGTTGGAGCTAATTGAAACCATTCAGCAACATGGCTAGACACAAGATCAACTTTCAAAAATCAATTGGATCCCTGTATCCTAATGAATACTAATACCGCACACTATTACTGTATAATGAATACTGTATACTAATCCCTGTTTCCAGAGCACATGCTGGAAAGAATATCAAGAGAACAATACTATTTACAATAGCCATCCAAAAGATGAAATACTTAGGGATATACCTAACCAGTGACACCAAAGACTTACACAAGGAACCAAATCGACCTGCATCAATGAATGGATATACCAGGTCCACAAACACGAAGACTTACTCTTGTGAAAATGTCAATACTAC